AGGCCTTACAAAGAGAAGGGAAAGCTATCTGGAGGAACAAGTAAGATAAAGTGTAGGATTGCAACAGCACAGAGCAGGAGGAAAATGGAGAAGGCAAAGACCTAAGGCAATTGCAGGGGGGGGGGGAGGGAGTAGGAGCTAGGAAAGCACTACCGAAGTGTAAGGAGTGTGCACGTGGGAAGACAGGAAGCCAGAAAAGGGACGCACTCAGAGAAATGTGGCCATGGAGAAATCAGATTGGAAATTAGGTTGCAATATCAGGATAGGAAGAAAAACTAGTGTCAACCCCTCCCCCAAAAAACGCGTGCGATGATACGGTATACTCGAGATGGCATGACTACAAAGAGGGAAGAAAAGGCCAAGCGGATACAAAAATGTCGGTTTGCTTTACCATAATGGGGGAGTAACTAAGAAAAGGAAGGGGGGCTTAAGGTAGGGGAAGAGATGATGCCTCCAGAGAAAAAGCAGCTGACCACAGGTCCTACCGGGTCTAGAGGGTCTGAGGGGAGTGGCAGAGACCAGGTAACTGTGATGCTAAAGATGAGAACTTGGGGAGGATACAGTACTGGCTGGGTCAGTACAGAGCAGAAAGCAGCGTGCCACAGGAGAAGGCAAAGGGTTTGCGAGCAGCCAAAGGCATGGGGACAGCGGGGATGGTGGGGCAAGGGCACAAACTGGAGACGCCAGGAAGAAGGCTCCAAGCCGAGTCGCGAAGGCCCGCGGGGCGCGAGGGTCGCGGCAGGCTCGCGAGCTGGGGGAGGTGCGGCCTGAGTGACAGGGTGGGGGGGTCAGGACAGGCGAAGGGTAAGGGGACGGGGCGTGGCGGCCGCGATACTCACACCTCCAGGATGCGGTCCCCCTTGCGCACCCCGGCCCGGTCGGCCGCCCCCCCGGGCAGCACGGCGCTCACATGCTGCAGCGGCGCGTACAGCTCCCCGTTGATGCTCCGCAGTTGCCCGCCCTCGCTCACTTGGCCCCGCACGTTGAAGCCGTAGCCGGACTCGGACTTGACGATGCGCACGACCCGCGGGCCGCCGCCTCCCCCGCCGCCGTTCCCGGCGCAGTGGAGCCCAGACCCTCCGCCGCCGCCTCCATTCCTGTGAGGGGCTGAGGGGTGAATCCCTTCCCCGTCCTCGTCCGCCATCTTGCGAGCGAGCAAGCGAGCCGTCCCCCGCCCCCCTACGCCTCTACTCCTGCGCGTGCCCGCCCCCGTCGGCAGCCGCGCGACCCCGGCGCGCGCCCGCTCCGCCGACCGCTGGAGCTAGCCGGCCGCCGCGCTGCGGGGGGGAAAAGGGAGCAGGGGCGGGGGAAGTGGACGGTTGGGTGCTTTGGGGCTTCCTGGGAGATGTAGTTCGGGGGAGGGGTGCATGACGCATCCGGGAACAAAGCCTTCTGGGAGTTGTGGTTTATTGGGCTTTGGATTCTGGTAGGTGTTTTCTTGGTTGGATGTTGAACATCTTTTGCTTTGTTTTGTTTTTTTTTGTTGTTGTTGTTGTTTTTGTTTTTAGAGACAGGGCTTCCATGTGTAGCCCTGACTGTGTAGACCAGGCTGGCCTCGAATTTGGAGATCCTCCTGCCTTTACCTCCTAAGTGCTGGAATTAAAAGCATGTGCAACCACTGCCTGGCTTACTTTATTCCTTTCTGTAGAATGCAACATTTCCAAGTAAGAGTGTCTTAGTCCCTGATCCTTTAAGGAAATAGCACTCATCAGAGCTGTTACATGATGCTTTGGTGGATCAGAACTAACATGCTGAAGCTAATTATGTTCCCTTTGTCTTTGATTTGTAGACTCTTAGATGTTCTACAACATCTACTAAACAGTAGCAGATTAACTTGGGACCTTATCAGTCGGGTAAAATCAGACACCAGACTGGAGTTGCTCAGATTTCTATTTTCGTTATTTCTGTTCTTACTCCTCTTGCTGTGACCAGGCACTCTACACGGTATCAGTTTATATTCTGGTAGGTAGCCAAAAACGTCCATTGCTGTGTTTTCAAAGAATTCTCTGGTGCTATTGGGAGAAATAAATGAGACAAAGACAACTTCAAAACTATTGCTAAGTTGAAATTATTGGCCACTCTAATATCCAGTTCTAAATCATGGAGACTGTTGTTTTCTTCCACACACGCTTTCTGTACGTCTGTAGTTAGCTTACGTAAAGTTGCAATACGTGAAAAAATAACTGAGCTTTAGATTGTGTTACATAATCGCTGACTTTTGCCATGCTAAGGTTCCGTTTCCCAACACATGAAATAAGGAACCGAATTCTCGATTGCTGGGTCATCGCCCAAGATGAATATACAAATGAATGAACAATTTAAGGCTGCAGTGAATCACGAACAGCAACTAGTGGCCTGTCCCAGCTCACAGAAGGCAGGGGCAGGCGGATTTCTGAGTTCAAGGCCAGTCTGCTCCACAGAGAGAATTCCAGGCCAGCCAGGGCTACACACGGAAACCCTGTCTCGACAAACAAACAAAATAAGAAAAAAAGGAAGAAGGGAAGGAAGGGAGGGAGGGAGGGAGGGAGGGAGGGAGGGAGGGAGGGAGGGAGGGAGGGAACTTACTTGTTCTTCACGTTCTTTGTCCTAAGGGGATACATTTCTTCATCTTTCAAAGCCACATGCTAGCGCAACTCCACAACTCGGAGCAGTGACCCTGCTGGAGTAACCAGCCGGGAGCCTGCACTCTCGGCACACAGCAGACGATGAGAGGAAGAACTCTCTTTCTCCACATTACCATGTGCCAAACACCTGTACAGCTCGTCAACCACCTCCAGCACTATCTCAGTCCCTATGTGGAGGAAAAAGGGGGCTTGAGAGGCTACACAACTGAAACGATGAACACAAAAGAGGGGGATGATTTCTGAAAGCAGCAAACACCCTCCTGAGAGCGTTTATGGGCTATGCCAAGTTCTTAGGATCACAGGTTAGGTAGGGGAAATAATGAAGGGATTAAGAGATTGTGAAAAATACTGGAGACACAAAGTCATTACAGTTAGAGCCTGCATATGAAGGTAAAAAAATGATTTGAATTATAAATAAAAGGAAGAAAGGTGATCTTGTTTTACAACAAAGCTAATTGATTAGTTTTCAAATACTGAAATAAAAAAGGGGCAATGAGTTTTGCTCCAATATATTGTTGGAATTTGGTTTGAACATGAATCATTTGGCTTGAATTGAACACTGCATGGAAAGAACGTGTTGCTAGAAGAACTAGTTGTTTCTGCCAAGCCCACGCCTTTAAGCCCAGCATTCAGGAGGTAGAGGCTAGCTGATCTCTGTGAGTTGAGGCCAGTGTGGTATACATAGAGAGTTCCAAGACAGCCAGGGGGCTACATGGTGAGACCATCTTTAAAAAAAAAATCTAATAGTCTTTTAGTTTTTGTTTATTTATTAAAATACTTATTAAAAATATATGCTGGGTGGTGGTGGTGCACACCTTTAACCCCAGTACTCAGGAGGCAGAGGCAAGAGGATCTCTGTGAGTTTAAGGCCAACCTGGTCTACAGAGCAAGTTCCAGAGCATGTATATATGTACATATGTATGTGTATGTGTTTGTATTGTGCATATATGTGTGTGTATGTGTGTGTCTGTACTGAGTGGGGGCTTAGTGGTTAAGAGACTGGCTGCTCTTCCAGAGGTCCTGAGCTCAATTCCCAGCAACCACATGGTGGCTCACAACCATCTTATAATGAGCTCTGATACCCTCTTCTGTCATGCAGGCATACATGCAAATAGATCACTCATATACATAAATAAATAAATCTTTTTAAAAATATATATACCAAATGGGACTAAGGATGTCAGCCAGTGGGTAGACCACCAGCCTAGCGTGCAGGAAGCCTCTGCTTAAATCCCTAGTAACATATAAACAAGATGTGATACACTCCCAGCACTCAGAACATAGAGGCCTTGAGAAAATCAAAAGTTCAAGGCTCAGCTATGCACCAAGTTCAAGGCTAGCCAGCTCTATAAGAGACCCTTTCACACACACACACACACACACACACACACACACACACACACACAGAGTGTACATTCTGTTCTAGGCTTTATAACAGTGATGAGGGATGCATAGATAAACGAGATATCTACAGACTCCAAGAAAATCAATAGTGTGTAGTCAAACATAAAACTGCACCTGCCCCCTCACGCGGCTGTTCCGTTTCCACTCGCACACCTGGGAAATAACACTTTATGAAGAAAGTCATTTCAGTATTGTTTGTAGTAAGTGTAGTTTGGAAACAGCCTAATAACAGTCGCTGATTAGATTACGATACTCGCAATGGAAAACTGAATCACTTTAAACAAAAGGAACAAGGAAGCTCTTTATGGCATGAGATGCACTCGCAGAGACTGTGCAGTTACGTGAGAACGAGACGAAACACAGTCTGCAGAACATCATATTATTCGTGTATAAAAGGGCAGCCATATAACTGTATCTTTAGAAATATTCACAAGAAGTTGATAGCATGGATTGCCGCTAGGAAGGGAGACTAGAGGGCAGGGCTGGGGACAGAAGAAGGAGCAAGACTTTACACATTTCGCCTTCCCATTAGCTCGTCTCTAACTTCCAGGTTTTCAGTAGAATGAATGTGTCACCTACTTAGAAAACCAGTGAGGGGTTGTAGCTTAGTTGGCACAGGGCTCGTTTAGCATCCAAGAAGCCCTGGTTCCAGCTTCACACCTCCAATCATCCCAGCACTGGGCAGGTAGAGGCAGGGAATCTGAGGCTCAAGGGGATCTAGGCTGCAAAGCAAATTTAAGGCAGTCTGGCGTAAAGACCCTGTCTTATAAAAGCTAATTCATTAATTAAATGAGCTAGGAGTTGATGTGGGAAGGTCATTTGTCTATCTGTTGCTTTCATTGGTTAATTAATAAATAAACTGCTTGGCCTGATAGGTCAGAACATAGGTGGGTGGAGTAAACAGAACAGAATGCTGGGAAGAAGGGAAGTTAGGCAGATGCCATGCCTCTCCTCTCCAGGTCAGATGCCATGGAGCCTGCCACCAGGTCAGACATGCTGAGTCTTTTCCGGTAAGACACCACCTCGTGGTGCTACACAGATTATTAGAAATGGGTTAATCAAGATGTGAGAATTAACCAGTAAGAGGCTAGAGCTAATGGGGCAGGTAGTGTTTAAATGAATACAATTTGTGTGTTGTTATTTCCGGGGCTAAGCTAGCCGAGTGGGAGTCGGGCCAGATGAAAAGCAGGCCTGCCCGCTCTCGTCACTACAAGGATTACACCTGTAATCCTAGCACTCAAAAAGGTGAAGCAAGAGGAGCACCACAGACCCAGGGTGAGATCTTGCTTCAAAAAAGAATAATTAATTTTAGAAAAGTTTAAACTGAAAGAAGAGGTCCTCAGATCACACAAACTAGAAAGTAAGGGCAGAGGAGATGGCCCCGAGGGTAAAGGAGCCCACGGTCAGTCCAAGGAGTCAACTCCCAAGTTGTCCTCTGACTGACACACAAACACAGAAATAAATGCAATATAAACATATTTCCAGCCAGGCAGTGGCTGTGCACACCTTTAATCCCAGCACTCGGGAGACTGAGGTGAATGGATCAAGGCCAGCCTGGTCTGCAGAGTGAGTTCCAGGGCTACACAGAGAAATCCTGTCTCAACATGACAAAAGTGTGTGTGTGTGAAAATAAGTTGCCAAGACCATGCAATGGTGCGTGCTTGTATTCCAAACACTGAAGAAGTAGATGAAGGGTTTCAAGGTCAGCTTCAGCTACATACTAAATTCAGGGCCAACCTGGGCTACATGAAACAAATGTCTCCAACACTCATTGTCTAAGAGTCAAGATAGCAAAAGACAAAACAATACTAACAATTAAATCACAATGAGAGATGAGCCAGAGGCCTGCACAAGCTGCTGGGAGAAGCCTTCAAGCACCTGGAGGTGAGGACATAGGGGAGATGTGGCTATTCACCAGATGAGTTCACAACACAGAGCATGATGGTAGGGGACACTGAGGTCTGCAAGACCATCAGTGTGGGGTGAGAATGTGCAGCTCAGGAGGACTGGAGCAGAGCACACAGGGCAGGTGGACAGGAGAGTCAGATCTCGTGGGGCTCTGGAGACTGGATATTGTTTGTGCCTGGGAACTGGAGTTTCAGTCCTCGGAATGAAGGGGGTCTTCGAATGCCTCTTTGAGCAGATTATCCAAACGTTCTCCCACCTGCCCTTCAGGACGTTCATGCTGCAGGACTTACAAGAAGCGAACTGGGTAGATCATTCAGAAGCAATTGCAGGAATGCAGGAGAATTAATGGGATTCAAACCAGGGCAGTAGCAGTGGAGATATAAGGAAGGGGACACGGGAGAGGAAAGGCTCGGAGCCTGGGAGGATATCGGGTGCCCTGGAACAGGGAGGAAGCGATGGTCCACATTCCCCCAAGACGAGGCACAAGGAAGAGGAGGCGTGCAGGAGACAGTTTTCTTGGAGCCAGGTAGACTTGAGGGGCCTGTGGTAGGTCCAAGAGGAGCTGTCTAGCCTTTGTTTGGACACAGCCACAGCACAGGAAGATCGTCCAGTGAGCTGAGTGCTGATAGCAGAGCCCAGGAAATCCGCCCTTGAAGTAGCAGGCTCAAAGAAGAAAGAGAGCAGTGAACAGCTAAGAGAAGTCAGAGACTTGGGGCACCTAGACGGAGAGGAGCCTGGGTAGTCGGTGAAGCCGTCTTCGAAGTCGGACTTGGGCCATTCATTGTTTGCAGAGTATGTCCCACCTCAGAGCTCAGTTTACGCTCTCAATAACAGTGTAAACAGAAATCATCCCGAGAAACTAGGCTCAGATAACAGCAGACTACAGACTCACTACTAATTAACCCAAGAATTGAACCTTGTTCCCAAACGTTCTGACCAAAGCCAGGCCCTTCTCTTTCCTCTGTCCATCAAGTTTTCCCTACCTTCTGGGACCCCGCAGAGGCAGCGGTTCCCAGAACCCCGGAGGCAGCATACTTAGGTGGGAAGCCCCTCTGCATGCCTGCTCGCACAGCCTCTCCGTCTTGTGTCTTAGCTTTTCGCTGCTCTGAATTCTCCTCGTTCAAACCCTAGCTGGAGTCTTCCTTCAGTGTCCCTGAAGAGTCCAGCTAGAACTAACATTTCCCTTTTCTAAATTCCTGAGGCCAACGCAGTTCCAGAGGACTCCTGATGAGTCACGCGCTTGTGTAACTCCCTCCCTCAGAGGTGAGTAGAACCTGTGACTTGCTTCTGGGCAATAAAATACGCCAAAGGTGACGGTTGTGTCACACCCATGGTTCTGCTGAGTTATGTAATATTCCTTCTTAGCAAGACTGGCCCTTCTGGCGTTTGGAAGGCTAAGAGCCACCTAGGAGGAAAGCCACACATGTGAAGCCTCAGAGAACTCCAGGACCCGAGCGGCTCTTGGGGACAGCACAAATAAGTAAGTAAGTAAGTAAGTAAGTAAATAAATAAATAAATAAGTAGGCCCCTCCATCTTATACGCTCATGAAAGTCTGTTAACAAGCACACGAACATGAAGAAGAGGATCCAAGCTCCACAAAGCAACCTTAACTGTAGCTGAGTGAGATCTGAGTAGAGGGCCCATGTGCTTTAAGCTGCTGAATCTGTAGTAACTGGTTACACAGCAAAAGAAAAATCAGGGGGCTGGAGAGATGGCTCAGTGGTTAAGAGCATTGCCTGCTCTTCCAAAGGTCCCGAGTTCAATTCCTGGCAACCACATGGTGGCTCACAACCATCTGTAATGAGGTCTGGTGCCCTCTTCTGGCCTTCAGACATACATGGAGGCAGAATATTGTATACATAATAAATAAATAAATAAATAAATAAATAAATAAATAAATAAATAAATTCAATCTAACCCCTACTGCATTTATGGTCAGCCCAACTCGGTTTAGGACACAACAGCAAGTATTTGGCTGTGTTCTACCTTCCCAAGCCGATGGTAGGCTTCTGGGAAGCAGTGAACTGGCCCCGTGCGGTTAGAGCATTTGTTCTTGCAGAGGACCCGGGTTTGATGGACAGCACCCACGTAGTGCCCCATAACCATCTATAACCCCAGTTCCAGAGGATCCCACACCTTCTTCTGACATCCAAGGGCTCCAGACATGAGAATGCTGTACAGACAGACCTACAGGAGAATCTCAGATACAGGAAGGAAAGCAAGCAAGCTTTCTTTAGTGTTCTCCTGTCTCACACCTAATATGCCAACCCAACCGTTGACAAAATAAAGCAAACAAACACACAAAAACAACTACCATGACTAGGCTTTTTGAGTTTTTTTTTCTTGGGGTTTGTTTGGTTGTTTGGTGTTTTGAGATAAGGTTTCTCTGTGTAGCTTTGGAACCTGTCCTGGAACTTGCTCTGTAGACCAGGCTGGCCTCAAACTTGCAAAGATCCCCCTGCCTCTGCCTCCCAAGTGCTGGGATTAAAAGTGTGCACCACCATCACCTGGCTTTACCACGGCTAGTTTTAGTCAAGACTTTCTTCTGGGACTTAGAGAAGACCTGTCACTGTATAGTACAGCTTCCAGTGAGTACCAGAGTCGAATTGAAGCTCTGCAAATACAAAGGGTGACGGCAAGAAGGGTGGATTTGGGTAAGCTGCCACATGGTGCCACCTCATCTTCATGTAGAAGTTTCAAAAAACAAAAAGAATTTACAGGACACTTACAAAAAATAGCTTAATTTTTAAAAATGAAGTACATGCTACAACAGGGTAGCTTTGCTCAAGCTCAAGTCGACTTCCTGTTGCCTCTGAGTCAAGATGTAAGGACTGTCAGCTCCAGCACCACATCTGCCTGCATGCCACCATGCTCCCTGATGTGATGATAATGGACAGAGCCTTTGAAACTGTAAGCAAGCCACCCCAATTAAATGTTTCCTTTATAAGAGGTGCCAAGGTCATGGTGTCTCTTCACAGCAATAAAAACCCTAAGACAGAAATTGGTACCAGAAGTGGGGTACAGCTGTGATAGGCCTGACCATGTGTTTGTTTAGTGGAATTTGGATTTCGGTACTTTTGGGAAAGTAGTGGAATGTTTTAAGTGCTGCTTAATGGGCCATATTAGTAGGAGCATGGAAGACAGTGGCGCTGATAATGATTTGAAGTGTCAGGAGCTGGCTCAAGAGGTTTCAGAGGAGAATTTTAGTATGTTGCCTAGAAACCGTTTTTGTGATATTTGGGTGAAGATAATGACTGCCTTTTGCCCTTGTACAAGTCTGACTGTGGCTAAAGTGAAGAGTCTTAGATTAATTTCCATGGAAGAAGAAATCTCAAAACAGCTCAGTATATCTCTGTCGTGTGGTTTTAGTGGTAACTCTAACTAAGTAGAACCAGCTGAGCAGGGTAAACTACAAGATGTAAATTTTAAGGAGAAAAAGTAGAATGGTTCAAGGAGATAAACAGACAAAATGAAATACAGGGAATGGTGGCCTAAAGGCCAGATCCCACCCAGGTAAACTTCTAACTTGTGGGATGGAATATAGAAGAGTTTGGAGCCAGGTGTGTTGGCACACCTTTAACCCCAGCGCTAGGAAGGCAGAGGCTGGCAGATCTCTGAGTTTGAAGACTGCCTGGTCTAAATAGCAAGTTCAAGGACAGCCAGGCTTAGGCAGTGAGGGACAAAAGAAAGTTGTGAAGATGTAGCTAAACAGTCCCAGCAAGCAGTAGAACTTGGCAGCTTCAGCCATGTGGTTCCGACTTTAGAGTTAAAGACAGAGAAAGGAATTATGGAATAAAGTTAAAGGTCAGGCACTGTCAGTGGTATCCTTGAATGGAGGCCTAACAGAGAGGCCATTTTGTGAAACTGTGAAGGGGAAGCCTGGATCACCTGGGAGAACCTAAGATGTTAGAGATTCCCATTGTGGGATACCTGCCGAGAAGAGCTGCTAACAGGAAGTGGAAACAGCTCAAGGGAAAGAAGTGTGTACCAGGATAGGCACCAAAGCTACCCAGAGAAACTCTGTCTCAAAAATAAACAAATAAGTAAATAAAATTAGAGAGCCTTTATCAGAAGACAGAGGCAGGTGGAGCTCAATAAGTTTGAACCAGCCTGGTCTACATAGCAAAATTCAGGACAACCTGGGTTGCACAGAGAAAGCAGTGAAAATATCCAGACCTAAAGCGAAAAAAATAATTGCTAAACTTGAAAACTGTGTTAGTTCGTGGTTGTTTCTAACAGCCATTTATGCTGAATTTCACCCACCTTTATCTGAGAATGATAACTGTTTACCAGCATCAACCATTGCTTGTTTTCCACCTTGTGCCATCTTCCCCTTTACTCAGATCCTCAGTTGGGTTTCATGGGCTTTCTAATGTCTTATTTATTTATTTATTTATTTATTTATTTATTTATTTATTGGTTTTCCAGACAAGGTTTCTTTGTGAAACAGCTCTTGCTGTTCTAGAACTCGCTCTGTAGACCAAGTTGGCCTCAAACTCACAGAGACCCACCTGCCTCTGCCTCCTAAGTGCTAGAATTAAAGACTTGTGCCACTATGCCCAGCCTTATTTATTCTTTTAATGTATTTACTGGCAGAGTTTCTCTGTTTAGACCTGGCTGGCCTGGAACTGACTGTGTAGACCAGGTTGATCTCAAACTCATGTTGAACCTCCTACCTCTGCCTCTTGAGTGCTAGGATGCGGTGGTTTGAATGAAAATGGTCCCCAGAAACTCCTATGTTTAAATACTTGGTCCCCAGTTGGTGGAACTGTTTGGGAAAGATTAGGAGGTGTGGCTTTGTTAGAGGAAGTGAGTCACTGGGGGTGGGCTTTGAGATTTTAAAAGGCTATTAGTTCCTAGTTCTCTCTCCGCCTTGAGGTTGTGTCTCAAGAGTGCTCACTGGATGGTGGTGGTGCATGCCTTTAATCCCAACACTGGGAGGCAGAGACAGGAGGATCTCTGTCAGTCCAAGGCCATTCTGGTCTACAGAGTGAGTGCCAGGGCAGTCAGGGCTACACAGAGAAACCGTATCTCAAAAAATGAAACAAAAAACAAGATGTAAGCTCTCAGCTATTGTACCAGTGCTGGTGTAGGAGGTCCTTCTGTTTATGTGTTGCTTTCATTGGTTGACTAAAGAAACTGCCTTGACCTTTTGATAGGGCAGAACTTAGGTAGGCAGAGTAGACAGAATTGAATGCTGGGAAGAAGGGCAGACAGAGAGCCAACATGGAGCCGTCAGGTCAGACATGCTGAATCTTTCTTGGTAAGCCACAACCTCATGGTGATATACAAATTACTAGAAATGGGTTAAATCAAGATGTGAGAGTTAGCCAATAAGAGGCTAGAGATAATGGGCCAGGCAGTGATTTAATCAATACAATTTCTGTGTGGTTATTTCGGGTGTAAGCTAGCAGGGCGGTCGGGAGCAAAAGCAGGCCCTCTCTCCTTGTAACACATCGCCAAGCCCGCCTGCCTGCTGCCCTGCTCTCCACTATGATGGTCATGGACTCCAACCCTCTGAAACTGTAAGCCTCAAATAAACTCTTTCTTTTATGAGTTGTCTTTGTCATGGTGTTTTGTCATAACAGTAGAAAAGTAACCAAGACATGTGGTGTATTATTATTATTATTATTACCATTATTATACATTAATTCTATTTTGACTTATGTGTATTTGTGTGAATCTCTAAGTGACTACATGCATGATACAGTGCCAACAGAGACCAGAGGCATTAAATATCCCTGTAGCTAGAGTTACAAGTGATTGTGAGTCACAGGACATGAGTGGTAGGAATTGAATCCAGATCCTCTGAGATCTTAACCACTGAGCCACTTCTCCAGCCCTAGGGTTGTTTATTATTATTGGTGTTGTTGTTGTTAATCTTATTTGAGATGGGTTCTCAATGGCTTCACATTCTTAGGCTGGTATCGTCCTCCTGCCTCAGCCTCCCAGGCGCTGGGATTACAAGTGAGTGATAACATACCCAGTTACATTTCCAAAGTTGTTTTGACTAAAATGCAATTCAAGAACCACCCCTAAATTAAAAAAAAAAAAACAATAGGGCTGGAGAGATGGCTCAGAGGTTAAGAGCACTGCCTGCTCTTCCAAAGGTCCTGAGTTCATTTCCCGGCAACCACATGGTGGCTCACAACCATCTGTAATGGGGTCTGGTGCCCTCTTCTGACCTGCAGGCATACACACAGACAGAGTATTGTATACATAATTAATAAATAAATATTTAAAAAAACAACAACAACAATAATAAAAGCACTGTAAGAGAATGTTGTACACAGAATGGAATCAAATTCCCCTTGAAGATTACCTGCTCATTTATTCCTTTGTTTTTTGCCCTCTTTCAACACAGCTGGCTCACTTCATATCTATGCCAAAAATTCTTTGGGACAGGGAGGCAGAGAGGAAGTCTCGGAGCCACAGAGAAGCCCAGGCACAAAGCCTGGTGGCTATTCACAACTCTGGAAAAGTCTGTTTACTGACAATGTATATGTACTAACGTTTACAGCCCCTTAGAAGTGTGAGCATGAGGCAAAGCTGTGAGAGCCACACTTCGAATAGCAGCAAGGATCTTCTGACCTGACATACTCAGGAACCTTGAGAACACTCCAGAGGACACTACTGAAACCAGCCTGTGCCCCATACCCAGGGCTGAGCAAAAGGCCTATTCGGCTCCAGTCTATAAACCTGGAATTAGAAGATGGTCTATTTACTTCAATCCAGTAATTACAGGCAATTTTCCTAGAAAATACCATTGACTAAGTCCTCCCCAACCCCTCAAACTCAAGCCCGGGAGCTCACTAAGTTCTTTTTGTTGTTGTTTGTTTGTTTTTTGAGACAGGGTTTCTCTGTGTAGCCCTGGCTGTCCTGGAACTCACTTTGTAGACCAGGCTGGCCTCAGACTCACAGAGATCCGCCTGCCTCTGCCTCTCACGTGCTAGGATTAAAGGCATGCACCTCTACTGCCCAGTTTTTGGTTGTGAGCCACCTCATGGGTTCTGGACATTGAATGCAAGTCTTTAGGAAGTGCAGCCAGTGCTTTTAACCACCGAGCCATCTCTGCAGCCCCTGAAAGTTCATTTAGCCCTCTTCTGGAGTTGAAATAGGTTTCAATTAGCTTGTTTGGCTTTCCGAGGCCATGTGGCCCTGGCTGGCCCGGAAATCACTATGTCACCACTAATCCGGCGCTTGGCTTCGGTTCGTGAGACAGATTCTTACTATGTAGCATAGGCTGACTCGGAACTCATAACCAATACATCTCCCAGCTGCCTGGGATTACAGGTGCCAGACACCCTACCCAACGCCGTCATTTGTAAATGACATGTGCCCTCCAGTGCACAGACACTAAATATCAGCACCCAGTTCTCTCATTCAGCTCCGGGTGCCAGGCAAGTGCCCCAGGGCTCGCTCCAGGAGAGATTATCTTTTCTTCAGTGATCCAGGACAGCCACCTCGTAAAACATCCTGCTAGTCCAGACGAGCTCACTGCAGTTCCTCCACCGGCCGCTAGGTGTGGACCAATGCTGGGACGAGACTAATAGCCCCAGCCATTCTCTGCCTAGACTAGAGGCAAACAGGGACCCAGAGCCGGAGACTCCGTACCAGGCTGAGGGAGCATTGTAGAGGATGATTGGCACTGTCTGGCATCCTCGGGGGTTGGGGCGGGGATTCACCAACAGATATCAGCTTTTTTTTTCTTTTCTTCGAGTCAGGGTTTCTCTGTGGTTTTTGTTTTGTTTTGTTTTGTTTTTTGTTTTGTTTTGTTTTTCGAGACAGGGTTTCTCTGTGGCTTTGGTTCCTGTCCTGGAACTAGCTCTGTAGACCAGGCTGGTCTCGAACTCACAGAGATCCGCCTGCCTCTGCCTCCCGAGTGCTGGGATTAAAGGCATATGACACCACCGCCCGGCAGCTTTTTTGTTTTCAAAACAAAGTCTCGACATATACCAGGCTAGCATCAAGCTTCTCACGGAGCTTAGCTTTATGCAGTACTGGGGACTGAATCCAGGGCTTTGTGCATGCCAGGCAAGCACTCTCTCATCTCAGTTGAACTGCATCCACAGCCCCTTGTTTTCTGAGACAGGGTTTCCTGTAGCCCAAGCTAGCCTCCAACTTAGTACGTAGCCAAGGCTCACCATGAAATCCCGATCCTACTGCCTTAGCTTCTCAAGTGCTGGGATTACAGGCATGCCCCATTATTGCGTAGGATTGTTTGTTTTTAACATTACTTACTCACTTGGTAGGGGGTATTCCTGCCATGTGCATCTGTGGAGGTCAGAAGGCAACGTTTGAGAATCGCTTCTCTCTACCATCTGGGTCCCAGGAATTGAGCCCAAGTTGGCAGCCTTAGCGGCACTTGTCCTGCTAGCTGCCTTGCTGGCCCAGGGTTTTGCCCGTTTGTTTTGATTTATAGCGTGAGTGTGGAGGTTAAAGGTCGACTTTCAGAGTCAGTTCTGTCCATCATAAGGGTCCCCGGGATCACACTCAGGTCACTAGCCTTGGCCACAGATTTCTCACCCCACCCCCACCCCAACCCTGAACCACTTCTCCTGGCCTCTGTTTATGGGTTGGAAAAGACAAAAAAACAAATGGCAGAAAAAAGTGAGGGGAGGTATATGGTGTCTCCTAAAACAGCCTGCAGAAGTCCAGAAACCAGAGTGAGTGAGGCTTAATCTCAGCTGTCACCTCTCCACCGCCTGGAGGGGGGGGGGGGACACTCAGCCCTGTTGTTGAGTGAGCAACATTATCTCTCAATACAGCTGTCACATTCTTAAGGCTGTTCTGTGGGTCTCTACGAAATCCCAAGGCTACCAAGGCCGTGTAGCCGTGGACAACTTCGTGGAGTTGAATCTCTCTGCTTTTACATGGGCTCCAGGCATTGAACGCAGGTGGTTTTGAACAGGTGCTTATGATTTCTTCCTTTATTTGGGAGGGGACATGCACATGTGGAGGGCATTTGTGATTTGACCCACTAGCCCAACCTGGACCTCCCTTTTCAAAAAAACGTAGTTTTTTTTTTCTTTTTTTTTTTTTAAAGATAGGGTTTCTCTCTGTAACCGTGGCTGTCCTGGAACTTATTATGTAAGCCAGGCTGGCCTCAAATTCACAGAGATCCACCTGCCTTTGCCTCCTGAGTGCTGGGATTAAAGGTATGTACTGCTACCACCCGACTTTAAAAAAAAACAAAGTATTTTATTTTTATGTGTTTTTTTGTTTTCCTTATTATTTATTATGTGTACAGTTTTTTTTTTCTGACTACATGTACACTTGCAGGCCAGAAGAGGGAATTACAGATAGTTGTGAGCCACCATGTGGTTACTGGGAACTGAACTCAGGACTTCTGGAAGAGCAGTCAGTGCTCTTAACCTCTGAGCCATCTCTCCAGCCCTTTTATGTGTGTTTTTTGGGTATGTGTGCATGTGTGTTTGCACACATAAGTGTGACTGCCCATGGAGGCCACTAGAAGGTGTTGGATCCCGTAGCGCTGGAGTTACAGGCAGTTGTGAGCCACCCTACATGGATGCTCTTAACCGCTGGGTCACCACTCCAGCCCCCAACCTTAATCTCTCAACCCTCTGACCTTCACTCCCTCCTGTGTTTGTGCAAGTGTTACAATTATGTGTGTGCCACGGTGCCACCGCATCCTGCTTGAATCCTCAGGCCACTTGTGATTACACAAAATGTGATAGTTGGTGACTGGAACTCGGACAACCTGCTATTTGAGAGAAGCGGAACCTAGGGTTCAGTTAGTGAAATGGCTGACCCACATCCCCGGGTGAGCCACGCCAACACCCAGCCCTCCTTAGCACCCACACTGAGCTTCCCCCTGAGCATGCTCAGGCTGGTGATCTTCATCCGGCCTGAGACTCTCGGCCACATCATCCTCTCTAGAGAAAGGGGGAGAGCGTGTGGCTTGACAGAGCTTTCTGGAAAACTCCAAAACAGAGTCTTTCCTGAGCAAGAATTTTTTGTTTTGTTTTGGTTTGGTTTGGTTTTTCAAGACAGGGTTTCTCTGTAGCTTTGGAGCCTGTCCTGGAACTAGCTCTTGTAGACCAGGCTAGCCTCGAACTCAGAGACCTGCCTGCCTCTCCAGTGCCAGGATTAAAGGTGCGCCACCACCGCCCAGCAACCAAGAACTTATTTAACATGATCAAATGAAATGACATTCCTCCAGAACCCTTAAGAAGAGGAGATTAAACACCAAGCCTTATAAAAGAAATTTTTCTTTTCTTTTTTTCCTATTAAGTAGCCTTAGCTGCCTTGGAACTCGCCTCTGCCTTCTTAGTGCTGGAATTACAGGCGTGTGCCACCACCGCCTGGCATATATGAGATCTTTTAGTTGCTCTTTTGAGACAGGGGATCATATAACCCAGCTGTCTTCAGACCTGCTACATAGCTGGGGGTGTCCTTGAATTGCATGTCCTCCTGCCTCTGTCTCAACAACCCACCTAGTAGTAGTAGGGCTACAGGCCTGTCCCATCCTGTCTAGCTATTAATGAGATCTTAAAATCAGCTTTCGTTTTTACCGAAATGTTTACCAGCCTCAGGAATGTTCCAGCAGTCTACCTCTGGTGACACAAATAAGCAACCAAACCAAGGGCAGGGAGACTTGTTCAGTTTGTAAACGATATTTACTCTCCTATAATCCAGTTTCTTCTCAGGCCTGGCCTTTGTTCTTCTGGTACTGGATCTAATTTACAAAAAAAAAAAATCCCTCATTTAATCCTAGTTCAACTGCTGCCCTTTTCTTAAAAATAAAATATAAAAAATTAAATTAGGTATTTACAGCATGGAAGCTCCTGAGACCTCCCGTTTGTTCTACAGGGCTCACAGGGATCACCTGCCCAGGTGCTCAATGGCATGCTGCCCTCTGCTGGTTTCAACCTGTAGGTGCAGAGTCCCACTTGGCTCACAAAACTCTTAACAGCATGGGACTTTAGTCAACAACACCAACCCACCAGGAGTTCAGAGGGGTATGGGCTTTCAAGAAAGGACACACTGAGGTTAGAGAGTGAGCCAGGTGAAAAGCGGCACTCACTAGAGAGCAGGGAAGGAGAAATGGTCACCTCTTCGAATTAGGAAAAGCACAATGACACTTAAGATCTTGGGACTTGAGGGCTAGAGAAATGGTTCACTGTGTAAGAGTGCTTCCCGCCTTGGCAGAGTGCCAGGAGTTGGGTTCTCAGCATCCATGTCAGGGAATCATAGCCGCGTGTAACTCCAGTTCCAAGGAGATCCAATGTCCCCTTCTGGCCGCTGCAGGCACCTGCACACACACACACACACACACACACACACGCACGCACGCACGCACACACAATCTTCAAAAAGACAAAACGCGGGGCTGGAGAGATGGCTCAGTGGTTAAGAGTATTGCCTGCTCTTCCAAAGGTTCTGAGTTCAATTCCCAGCAACCACATGATGGCTCGCAACCATCTGTAATGAGGTCCGGTGCCCTCTTCTGGCCTGCAGGCATACACACAGACAGAATATTGTATACAGAATGAATAAGTAAATAAATAAATAAATAAATATTTAAAAAAAAAAGACAAAACGCAAGGGACTGGAGAGATGACTCTTTCAGCGCACCCAGGCTCCATCAGTAACTCGGGTCCGAAGGGATCTGTCATCCTCTTCTGGCCTCTGAGGACACCGCAGACATGCATGCAAGCAAAACACTAACACACATAAAATGGAAATAAATATAGCCTCAAAGGAAAAAAATTTAATGTGGACTCTCTGGGGATTAAGTTTGGTACTAAAGCCCCGCCCAGAATGTGTGAGGTCTGGGTTCAGTCTCCAGCACCCCCACACCTCCACACCCCACACACAAAGAATTGTGAACTCAGGTGAGTCAGGTGATCCGAGAGGCTCAGGAGGGGCTTGGGGAAAGCAGAGTGCCAAGGGAAGGTACTCCAAGCTACACTAGCTCAAGGTTGGGACTTTTCTCCAGCTCATTCTAGGATGCTCTTCCTAGAACAAGAACAAAGTCCATACTGTGGATCTTGATTCTGTTCCAATTCTAACCCAAAGTCGCACACACCTGCCCGTGCCCACCTGTACCCACACCCACCCTTACCTGCACCCACCTTTGTGCCCCATTTCCTTAAAACTAGATTTTTGTTTCCTCAGTTTTGAAAAATGACATGTGACTATTTGCCTGACGGCACACAAATATCTCCTGGCACTGCTTAGATTAATAGCAATTTAGGGACATATTCTCTGAATTTCCCTTCTAAGCCTACAGCCAAGCCCTATATATTAAATGCTCAGAAATATTTTTCACCATAAATCATATAGTGTCCATAGTGTGCCAGACATGCCCCATGCTACACATGATCCTTGCATATAAATTTTTTTGAATATTCTTATGCTTTTTTAACTTTATTTTATGTGCATTGGTGTGAAGGTGTCAGAGCCTGTTGTAATAGAAGCAGCGGGGCTGTGTCCCCAGCACCCTGGCTGCCTGGCTAGCTTATGCCCTGAAATAACAACACACAAACTGTATTCATTTAAACACTGCTTGGCCCATTTCTATCTAGCCTCTTATAGGCTAATTTAGCCCATTTCTAATCATCTGTGTAAGCACCCCAATGTGCACTTACCGGGAAGATTCTAGCCTACGTCCATCCTGGGTCAGAGCTTCATCCCATGTATGCCCAGGAGAGCGAAGCAGGGCCTCTGCTCCAGAGAGCAGAGCTGTCGAGTCTGAGCTCACTTCCTCTTCCTCCCAGCATTCTATTCTGTTTACTCCTCCCACCTATGTTTTAACCTATCAGGGCCAAGGAGTTTCTTTATTGCTTAACCAATGAAATCAACAGATTGATATATGACACTCCCACATCAAGAGCCCCTGCAACTGGATCTTCATACAGTTGTGAGCTGCCATGTGGGTGCTGGGAATTGAACCCGGATCCTCTGGAAGAGCAGTCAGTACTCTTAACCACTGAGCCATCTCTCCAGCCCCTATGAATTTTTTTAAAAAAGATTTATTTATATGTGTGGGTGCTTTTGCCTACATGTTTACTTGTGTTCACATGTGTGCAGTACCCACAGGAGCCAAAAAAGGGGGGGCATCAGATAATCTGAACTGGAGTTATAGATGACTGTGAGCCTCTATGTGGGCTCTAGGAACCGAACACTGGTCCTCTGCAAGAGCAAGTACTATGAACCACAGAGGCATCTCTCCGGACACCTTGCAAGTCTTTGTTCAGACCATTGCTTCAGCTATGAGGGAGTAAAGCAAGGATTACACGCACGGGTAGGGGGCCAGACTGCCTGTGACCTATCCATCCATACTGTCTATCTGTGCATTCTTCAACATGAGACTTGCTCTCTTGTATCTTGATTTCTTCATCTGTCGAAAGAGAAACGATGGTGCCTACTTCACTGTAAGCCCAGAGTAAATGTTCTTACTGAGAGAGCATTATCATCTTGGTTTTACAGATGGAGAAATTAAAGCTTAGAGTTTAAATAACTTTTCCAAGTAGCATGGCTAGTAACAAAGATATAGGATGATAAATAAGAGCCGAAGCCCAAAACAGCTCTCTGAGCTCCATGCTACACAATCTCACTGTTGTTGGATGACCAAATGCAAGGACAAGTGAGTGACAGAAAAGACCTTTATTGCTGGTGCCTGCCTTTTGACTCTTGCATAAGGAGGATACTGGGACACACAATCTATCTGTTTCTCATTCCCTGCAATCAACTAAGAGAGTAGACAAAATTCTTTATCACTTTTTTATGTGTATAGGTGTTTGCGTACATGTATGTGCACTATCTGCATGCCTAGTACCCTCAGAGGGCAGAAGAGGGCGCGAGATCCCCTGGAACTGGAGCTGCAGACAGTTGTGAGCCACCATGTGGTTGCTGGGACTCAAACTCAGGTCCTCTTGAAGAGCAGCCAGTACTCTTAACTAGTTAGCCACATTTCCAGTCCAACAACATTTTTTAAAATAATCTATTTTTATTTTATGTGCATTGATCACATGTGAGATTTTTCAAAATTTAAAGATTTTTCAATTTGTCAACTTTGGCATGTTGACAAACCAGACATAATTAGATTATGAAATGGAAAGAGGGACTGGGACCCCACCTCGACTTACAGTCGGTCTGCCCTGAGCCCCCTGTTAGGTCAGACCCCCACACAGGGCCGCTTTCCTTGCGTGATGTCTTGCAACACCTCTCATCAGAGGCCTCCAAAGGCAGAGTCTCCCCCCAAGGGGAGGAAGACGAGATACCTACGTCATGACAAGCCCCCCTACACCTACTTGGCCATGATCGCTCTGGTAATTCAGGCAGCACCTTTCCGCAGGCTGAAGCTGGCCCAGATCATCCGTCAGGTCCAGGCAATGTTTCCCTTCTTCAGGGACGACTACGAAGGCTGGAAGGACTCCATCCGCCACAACCTTTCCTCTAACCGGTGCTTCCGGAAGGTGCCCAAGGACCCTGCAAAGCCCCAGGCCAAGGGCAACTTCTGGGTGGTGGATGTGAACCTGATCCCAGCAGAGGCTCTGCGCCTTCAGAACACTGCTCTGTGCCGGCGATGGCAGACCCGGGGCACACGCAGAGCTTTCGTCAAGGACCTGAGCCCCTTCGTGCTCCACGGCCGGCCTTACCGGCCGCCCAGTCCCCCACCACCATCCAGGGACGGTTTCAGCATCCAGTCCCTGCTAGCGGACCCCGGGAAAGGATCGACATGGCCCCAGCAGCCTGCACTAGCTGGACAGAGCAGTTCAGCTCAGGCAGGTACTAGCTCCAAGGGGGAAGAAGAGATGTGTACTGCGCCCCGTAACTCTACTGAGAAGCCTCTGTGGCCCCTCTGCTCCCTTCCTGGGCCCACAAGAATAGAGGGGGAGACTTCCCAAGGGGAAGTCATCAGGCCTTCTCTTTCCCCAGAGCAAGGCACCTGGCCAGTTCACTTACTTCAGGGTTCCCAAGATCCCATGGGGATGTCCAGCAGGGGGTGCAGAGCTTC